ATTTGTCTCTTATAGTTCTGGAGTATGCAAAGTACAAGAACAAGGGACTGACAGAGTCACTATCTGGTAAAGACCTACTCCTTGGTCCATTTGCTGTGTTTTCATAGGAAAAGAGGAAGGGACACAGTGTGAGGACTCTTTTATAAGCACATTAATCCCATTCACAAGGGTTTCTCCTTATGACCTAATCCCCCTGAAGAGGCCCATCTCCCAATGATATCACAATGGGGATTGTATTCAACATAAGAATTTTGGGAGGACACAAATATGCAGCCTACAGCATTTGTGTATTTTACTAACAATTCTTTATTAGATAAGTCTTTTGTGAATATTCTTTCCAATATGTGGCTTGTCATTTTATTCTCTTGACAGTGTGTTTTGCAGAGCTGAAAATTTTAAGGGGGTTACTCACTTTATTACCTGTATTATTTATATGAGGTTTCCCCATACAATAACATAAGCTTCCAAATTAGTTCATTTTCTAGATATAAGTTTGATTATATTTTTTAAAATTCTCTAATGTATTCATTCTCTTAAATCATCAGTTGTCAATAGGTGGGGGAGGTCAGTTTTGTGCCCCAACCCAGGGTCATTTGACAATGTTGGGATATCATGGTTTTCACAGCTGTGTTGGGGAGAGACCAGGGATGCTGTCAAACACCCTTTGATGCAATCATACATACCCTACATAAACCATCCAACTGTCAATAGTGGGGCTGGGGTTGTGGCTTAGTGGTAGAGCACTTGCCTAGCACGTGTGAGGAACTGGGTTCAATCCTCAGCACCACATAAAAATAGATAAATAATAAAGTTATTTTGTCCATCTATAACTAAAAATATTTTAATTGATTTTTAAAAAATAAATGACAGTAAAATGCATTACAATTCTTATTACACATATACAGCACAATTTTTCATATCTCTGGTTGTATATAAAGTATATTCACACCAATTTGTGTCTTCATACCTGTACTTTGGATAATGATGTCCATCACATTCCACCATCATTTCTAACTCCCTGCCCTCTCCCTTCCCCTTCCACCCCTCTGTCCTATCTAGAGTTTGTCTATTCTTCCCATGCTCCCCCTCCCTACCCCACTATGAATCAGCCTCCTTATATCAGAGAAAACATTTGGCATTTTTTCGGGGGTGGGGGGAATTGGCTTACTTCACTTAGCATTTTCTTCTTCAACGCCATCCATTTACGTGCAAATGCCATGATTTTATACTCTTTTATTTCTGAGTAATATTCCATTGTGTATATATGCCACAACTTTTTTTTATCCATTCATCTACTGAAGGGCATCTAGGTTGGTTCCACAGTTTAGCTAGTTGTGAATTGTGCTGCTATAAACATTAAACTGTGTCCCTGTAGTATGCTGTTTTTAAGTCCTTTGAGTATACTTAAAAAATGTCAGTAGTGCCAAGGTTAAGAAACTGTCTTAGACACAGAAATTTTGCTTTAAGAATTTACCCCAATTGAATGACAGAACATACTTAAAAATTTATTCAATCTTTTTTTGGGACAGCAATATCAGTGGTTAGTAAAAATTGAGATATATGTATCTCATTATGTTTTCATAGGTATTTATCTTAGAAATATTTGAACATGTGTGCAAAAAGGAATATGCCAATATTCTAAATGTACATGCATGCTCTATATAAGAGAATTTGGGGACATAAGACCTTCCATGACTCTTTTCCTATGATCTTATCTTCCTTTTGGATGTCGTCTTTTCTGTGGATAGGGTAGTATAAGAACATCGCCCAGGATTCCCCCAGGAAGTCATTTCCTAGTTAGGAAACCAGAAAGGACTGATCCTTCCTCTCCAGACCCTTGGTTGAGCCAAGAGGAAGCACATGGTCTGAGTTTAGCCAATCTTATGGGACTTTAAATCTTGAACTAATGCAGAACCAGAAAGCTCACTGAAGTAGTGAAAGTTGTAGGTGTGGGGAGCAGAAGAGAGCTGTCTCTTGGTCTCACAGTTTCTAATAAGTGACAGAATTGAGCCTCTATTACTTGGTCTACCAGAGGACTTTGGGTTTGATTTATTAAAAACGTTGGTGAGACAACTGATTACTTACTCAGTAAATAATCAGAAAAATCTGAGGTATATCTGGAGACTTTTATAAAATGCATGCAATATCAAGTTAATACCACATAATATGTGGGGTTAATTGAGAAATTTCCTCTGCTTTTTTGAATCATTAAAATAAATTTGAGTAATAAAAACACTCCAGTGTAATAAAGAAAAAAACATTGGTGAGCATCCCTGGTAACAAATTTGCCCTAGTGCAATAAATAGATATATTGGATCTCTGTGAATTGCAAAGTATCCTAATTGATATGCAGGAGAATTGTTTGTTGTCATTAAAAAAAAAAAAGCACAACAACACATTAGTAAGTGGAAAATCGCAGTGCAGAACATTCGCTCATTTAAGGAATGTTCATTGAGCCCTATTGCTTACTAGTCTCTGTATACTGATTAAGGCTGACCTGGTTCCTGCCCTCATGGACATTATTTTAAATGGAAAAACATGAGAGATATATTGTTTGACAACAGCAGAATGCCAAGTTCTCTTAATTATGGCACATGCATTTCAGGGAAGCATTTATGGCCATTAAACATAATGATTTTAATGACTGTAAATTAAGTGAAATAAAATTTAAAACTATGAGCATATATGTATAAGTACATAATTACTACATTATAGTTACAACAATTCAAAGCAATAAAAAACACACAGAGAATCAAACAACTTTTTAAAATGTGGTATGTAATCCAAAGGAGACATACCAAAATGCCAATAGGACTCATCTCAGAATGATATGATCTTTTTGCATTTTCTAAATTATGACAATTTGCATGTTGCTTTAGAGTTTATAATTATAAAATGGTTTAAGACAAGTAGACAGTAAAATGTTTAAAAAAATGTAAATCTTATTTTATACTTAACCATATTTTTAAAATGTTTCATTATAATAAAATTCTAGCTATATAAGCAGACTAATGCAGAACCAGAGACAGCTCTCTCCTGCCCCCAACACCTACAACTTTCACTACTCAGGAATTTAATCTTCAGTGATTTTTTTGGTTCTTCATTAGTTCAATTATAATTATATATTATAATTATTATATATATTATATATTATAATATATAATGGGTAAATAAAAATTCATTGTCTTTCTTGAATCCATTTCAAATGCCTAGAGTCAAGTCATGTATGTCTGGTCTACAACAAACAAAATCTTGCTTTCTGGCCCTTTACTATTAGAACTTATGGAATGGACCAAGGTCAATAGTGGGGCTGATTTCTCTACCAGTGACAGGTTGGGAGGGGATAGCAAAAATTTTGTGAGGTCAACTGAGAAAGGGGTGGCACATCAGAGGGATGACTGCATTTCTGGCCTGTGGAGCCGTCTTTAAGCATGTTTTTTTTTTTTTTTTTTGTGAGTACACACTCTTAAATCTTGTGTAAATATACTGATGGTAAGATGCATTGATCTTTTAACATAATTTCTTTGTTTGGGGGCAGGCAAGGTGGGGCCTCCTCTTGACATCAAGCTGGGTGCCCTGAACTGCACAGCTTTCAGCATCCAGTGGAAAATGCCACAGCATCCTGGAAGCCCAGTCACTGGATACACTGTGAGTACATGTGGGGATTTCTGCAGTGGGCATGTTGGGGTGACTGTACATGCTCCCTATCTTTGTACCTCCTGAACAGGTTGAGTGTGCCTTATTCAAAATGCTTGGGATCAGAATTGTTTTGGATTTCTGACTTTTTCATATTTTGGAGTATTTACATATACATAATAAGATGTTATGGGGATGGGACCCAAGTCTGAATACACAATTCATTTGTTTTACATACACCTTATGCACATAGTCTGAAGGTAATATTTTTAGTGGACTTGCATTTTGACTGTGATCCATCACATGAAGTAAGATGTGAAATTATCTACTTTTGATGTCACATCAGGCACAAAAAGTTTCAGATTTTGAAGCATTTCAGATTTCAGATTTGTGGATTAAGGGTGCTCAACCTGTCTATGGCCTCCTTACTACCAGCCCTCTCATATTAATAACCGCCTCATTCTCTTCTGGTGAAACTATAAGAAATATTTCAAGGGCATTTCTAAGACCCCTGAGAATGACCTCTGCATTAATCAGGATCTATCCAGTTCTTTCTCTGTGCAGCAATGGAAAAATATAAAGCAAGTAGAAGATATGGTTTCTGCTATCCAATTGCCTAATATCATTGGGAGAATAATACAGAAACCTGAGAAATCATAGGGAGTCACTGTGGAATGTTATCAATAAGTACAAACAAATGTATGAACTGAATTAAAGATATGGTCAGGCAAAGTGGAGGAGGGAGCATAGAAGGTACCCTACAATTAGAGGCTGAAAATTGGGCAGATTTCGGTTCTCCAAAATGTTTTTGTTAAGTAGTATTATTAAAAATAAACCAAGTTTTAGAAGTCAGGGTATTTCAGATAAATATTTGGAGTTCTGAAATCTCTGAGACATCCAGACAGTTGGACACACTGATCCCATATTCCTATGGGACACCAAGCCCACTGGAGATGAAGGACCCATCTGAGATGGGATGAAAGCCCTCAAGTCTGACCAGTCCCTACAGACTCCAGTTCACCATCAGCAAGTATTCATCATGACCTTGTCCTCTGGTCTTCTTAGAGAAACATATTTCTGAACTCATGGCATATCAAATATGGGAAGATGCAAGATTACCTGATAGGGTCATGGTTTGGGGAAATAGGAGAGGAGCGGGGTCCAGCCCTCACTCCCTCTTCACAGATACGTTGTCTTCCTCCTGGCCTCTGCAGGCTTCTGAATTTGCAACCCCACCAGGTATGTCTGATGTTCATTCCCACAGAACTAGTAACTAGTGGGGTAGCCTGATGCACCTCAGAACCTGCTTCCTTTGTGAGCAATTCAAACCTTTGATCTTGGAGAAGTAGGGACTCTGTTCTTACCAGGTGTCTGTGTCTTTTCAAGGTCTTTTACTCTGAAGTCGATGCAGATAAGTCCCTGCAGGAGCGGTCACACAGTGTGCCTCTCAGCCAGGATACCCCAGTTGCTGTGAGTATGTCCATGCTGGTAGCCCCTCAGAACACCTGGGCCTTGTCATTGGGGGGAGAGTCAGAAAGATTTCTAAGTTACTACGTGAGCTGCCATCCATGTAATAATCATAATGAATGTCTGCACAGTCCTTTAGAATTTCCAAACGTCTTTGTGTACCTTGCTTCTGAGATCTGCCATCTATCTTTCTAGAAAGGCAGGCATTTGATAAAAGAATCCTGGTGCAAATGCAGGACTCAACCCCATTTTGTCATGAGAGGAAACAGTGACCTTATGGCTATTTTCCCCCCTGTTTTCTTCATAAAGTTCAATTTTGATTTTGATTTTGTTGCAATTTCAATAAAGCTTTAGAAATAAATATAACACATTTGTATCTTCCCAACTGCCTGGAGACACAATGCAGAAGAAAATGATGTAATTTGAAATGTATATTCAAATGGTCTAAGTTGTTTATTTTCCTTGTCAAGCTCAGCATCAATTGTCAGCTCTTCCTCTGTTTCTTTTGTTTCCCTTTAAGGTCCCTCTGGGTAACGTCTTGCCTTAGGCATCTTCTGGTTTCTTTTCTTTCACTCTCTTCCTTCCTTATTCTGCTACTATAACCTCTCAGCTGGAGTCTTTGAGGGGCTGTACAAGGAGTTACAGCAGTGCCCGTAACACCATTCTAATGGTGGTGGAGGCAGCAGAGGCAGTGTTTGTCTGTCCTATTTAATAAGTGCCAGCTAGGTGCAGCCCAGTTTGAAAACTATTTGTCATCTTTGATAAGTGGCTATTACTTATTTAGTGTCTGTCATCCACCAGGCTCTATCCTCTCATGCTTTACATTTGTTTTTCCATTTAATCTTCATGACTATCCTATGATCTCATCTTACTAACAGGAATGCTGAGACTCAGAGAGGTGAAACAATGTCCTCAAGTCATATATTAGTAAGAAATAGCATCTACTGTAAACCCAAGGCTGATATGTCTGAACTCCAGAACTAGCTAGTGACCCATAAAGAATGGATGCACACTTCCAGCTTGCTTGTATTTTTATGGCATGCTTTTAATCTTGATCTAGACTTTTGTTAAGCAGTCCTTGTTAGCCTCAGAAGCTGACAGCCCCAGCCTTTGTGGTCCACACTACCATAACAGGGGAGATTGGGTTGTCTAGGAAACCACAAACTTGAGGTTCCCTGTCCTCTTGACAGCTCTGGAACTTTCCACAGATCCACTGACCTCAACCAAAGGGTCAGCATTTTCCCTGGAAGTGCCCATAGCCAGCCCAGCCTTATGTCCTGTGGAGTCACAGTATCTCAGTGGAGGTATTGAGAGTGCAGGGCTAGGGATGCCATGAAGTTGGGACAGTACTTCTGAAATTGAAAGCCTGTCTATCGTATGGGATCTGGGCTGAAAATTGACATCTCTGTGAAAGAGACTGCAGGGAAGTGAGAAAATAGGGCCAGGAAGGAGACCAATACAGTGGGTTTCCAGATCTGCTTTTTCTACTTAACATGTTGCAAGTTTGGCCAAAGCCACTTAACCTGCCTAAGCTTCCACTTTCTCCCATGAAAGGAGATAATACAGACTGTTGCAAAAAACAAATAAAATCATATATGCGAAAAGTCTTTCCTAAAGTGTAAAAAGGCCTTACAGATGTTAGTTACCATTCCTGATGACATTTATGTTAAATATATTCTCTGTTATTTACATCCAGTCATTAGCATATGCTGTGAAATTCTAGCATTTATCATCTTGCTGATTTCAACAAACTGGCACAGTGGTTTCTACATGTCTAGCATGAGATAATTCATCATCCCTATTTTGGGGCAAACATTTAGTCTTATTGGAAAAACCACATTCATACCAATAATGCAATTAGAGAACAATGTAAGACATATCAATTGTCACTAACATGGCACTTACAGTCTTTTCCTTCCTAAAGAAGAAAAGATGAGTGTAGGACCAAGCAGTCCAGAGTTAACTTAGGGCTGGAAATAGAAGCAAGGAACTTTCTAGGAAAGCAGGTGCGAGGGAGGGGCATCCCAATGGGAGGGAATGGTTTGAAGCCCAGGAATGAGTGTGCGTGTGTGCATATGCCTGTGTGCATGTGTGTTTGGTTGGGGTGGGGGGAGTTGCATGTATACAGCATGGAGAGAGGAGGTGGTAACTGGATGTAGTACAGTAAGTCAGGGAGAGAGGACAGCCTGACAGCAGAGTGGCTCTGGGTTTCTGTGTGCTTTCAGATTCCCATATTACATCCAACCAGCTGGGTAACCTTTCTGGGCCCATTTCCCATCAACAAAATAGGGACTCTGATAGTATCTGTGCCACAGGTGGTAGATCTGTGGTTCCCAAGCTGTGCTTCAAGGAGCCCTGGGGCTCTGTAGCAAGCTCACAAGGTCATTGCAATATTTAAAATTTTCAAGGAAAACAGCAATGTCTGTGTGAACTACTGTACTAACAAGTTGTTTGGCTAAAACTACTTAACAAGTGGAATTGTTAGGGGCATTTCTTTTGGTCTAGAGATGCTATAAAAGTGTTATGTTAGAAACTAAGTGTGCCATGAACACAGAAGGTTCGGGAACCTCTGTACTATATCCTACCATCCTTAGAATACAGATGTTGTGTTAAAAGAGGTGATGGATGTAAATCCCTCAGCATAGTACCAGGCATAGAATAAGACTAGGTAAGTGCTTGATAAAATTCACATTGCATAGATGCGTGTTTGCTACCCTGGCTATAGCTAAAGAGAAGGGGCAGGTGCTGTGGGTTCATTTCAGTCCTGATAGTGTTTTCTCACTCTTTCCCCCACCCCCTCTCTCTCTTTGTTGTTGTTCTCCAGGTACAACCTGATCAACAGGCAATTTTTGTAAGTGTGTTTTAGGAAATCCTGCCCCAGTGCAGAATTTGGTGGGAATTTCATTAAAATGTTGAATTTTGCTGCAACCCCTCACACTGATTAAGGCAGTGGAGAGTGCGTCTCTTGGGCTAGCAGGAACTTCTGAGTGCACTAGGTATATTTTTAATCTTTTAGAGAGGAACTGCTTTTATCCTTGTGTGTGCTGCTTCACCTCACATGGCAGACTAAGGTTAAGAGAAGCATCTTTAAAGGTTGAAGTAATTTAAGCTCTGTTTCAAGCCTAGGTGAAACTGATTGAAAAAGAGAGAAAATGTTAAAACTAGTGATCCGCACCCTGGAGGCACTCTTCCTTCCCTTAACCTCTCCTTTCTTTACTCCAACAAATCCAGATTGTCTTTTCCATAAGGCAGGACCCAGCATCTAAAAATGGTTGATTTGATTTTTCCAGATTAAATGCCAAACAGGGGATTGGATTGACAAATGGTTGATCTGATTAAAATGATAAATTGAGCAAAATAACTTGGTTTTTAATGTGGAATTCTGATGCATTGTTGGATAATCTGCCTTCTAGAGGCTTCCAATTTGGTTAGTATTTCACACCCTCTGTATCTTTTGTCTTAGAAGAATAGCTTATAGATGTCATCCTGGAAAACAAAATAGTAAAACAAATCAGATCATTTCATAATATTTTAGAGTTAGAAACAGAAAAGGATGTTGAGACTGGTGGTTTCCACACTTTTTGATCATGCATACCATCAGTTAAAAAATATTTGAACATGCATCAATGTATGTATATTTATGTATTTATAAATTATACATATACCACTGTACTAATATATTATGTACATTTTTAAAACCCACAGAATTTTTTAAAGGAGGAGATAGAATAGAAATAGAAAGTTCTTCTGTTTTCTCCTGGCATCTAAGTAGATTGTCTCATTCACCCAAGGTAGAGGCACCATCCCTCTGCTCTGTTACCTGTTGGTCTTGTTGACCCAGAACAGTGATTCTGTTTGGGTCTATCCAAGGTTAGAGAGAAAAAACTTATCCAGGAATCAGAAGACATTGCATCTAGTCCCTGCTTTGTCGTTAGAGCAAGAGTGACCTTGTCCAAGGTCACTGAGCTCCTCTGAATCTCTTTTTGAGACTATAAAATGGCAGGATGGATTAGCAATGGTTCCTGACTGGAGATATTTTACAAATGTGTGTGGGGGGTGGTATGGAATATGTGTGGGCATTTTAGTGGACAAGCACCAGGGATGCTAACTTCCTGCAATTCTCAGGACAGAGGGAAATTTTTCCAGCCCTCAAATCTAACACTTCTCCTGCAGCAAAGCCCTGGAAAATGCTCTCTGATTTCCTGTAGGTACTTGAGAAAACAGAAATCCCTACAAGTCCTTCCCTCTCTGCTCTGCATAGGCTTCCTCAGAGCTGCTGGAGAAAGGACTCCAGGAAGATGTCACTTTTCTATTTCTCTGGTGTCTTCCATTGAGTGGATTCTCAACAGCCTCTAAGAAAACCTTGACTTGTAGAGTTACTGTGAAGTTGAATTCATGTTTACTATTTATCAATGAAGCTTACATAAGAAGAATTGAACAATTTTGATGTTGAACCATTTCCCCAGAGAGGATAAATGGCATTCCCATTGCCGCCCAGCAGAACCTGGATCTCCTGGCTTCTAGTTCAGTTTCTATTCACTTCCTGACTCCTCTCAGCTGTGCTCACTGGACTAGTGGGTAGGACAACCTTTGCTTCATTTATGAAGCCAAATGATCTAGGTTTTCAGCTATAGGAGAAAATAGTAGCATGTAAGTACATAACATTGAGGTCCAAACTCAGGGTAAGAGACAAGTTCAGAACCTTTCAATGTGGTTTCATCAATGTAGAGTGAAAGGTATTTGGTAAGGAATATTCACATGTTTTGGGGGATTTCTATGTGACTACCCAGATTGGGTAGTGAGGATACAAGTCTTGCAGTCCTCAAACTCATCGTAATAGTAATTTTAACAGGATATGCCTTGTGTTTCACTCCTGGGACCCTTTGGATATTATTAGGGCTCCCCTGGTGGCTTCCCTGTGCCTAAGGCTCTTTCCATCCCATTGTTTTGCCAACTCCTTGTGACCTTGTCCCCAAGGTCCCAAATGGATCACATCTACATTCTAGCCAATAAGTGATGAAAAGAGGAAAACGAACACGTGCCTCTTCCTTTTAAGGGATAATTCAGAAATTGACCTCAGCATTTGCACTTTCAAAATATTGGTCAGAATCTAGTCACATGGCAACACCTGGAAGAAAGGAACACAGGGAGTCTCCAAGTGGCCACATCCAAACCAAATATAAGAATTTCAAGTCAAGAGTAATGAATACTAGAGGATGACAAGTCATCCAGGTCAGACTGTGACTAGAGGGAAAAGACAGTTGAACTTGAACTTTGGAAAAACAGGCTAGCCTGAGAGTTAAATATACTATATCTTGACGTCGGGCTTAGGAAACAGATGAAGTTGTGGTATGTCTTAGGATGTAAAGTAGACTCACTGTTGCCCCTAAGGACAGTTTTATAAACTGTTTGGAACTGGTTTCTTCATTTGTGAATTGGGGAGTACAGGACTGACCTCTTAGGGCTCTCATTAGGATTAAAAGAGGCAATGATGTGCCAAAATCTTATGAATTTCAAAAGGCTACATAAATTTGAGCTATTACAATTATACCAATTATGAGATGAAAACTTGTTGTTATGGCAACCTGTGACAAAGGCAAGAATCCCGGGGAATTGCTCACCTGCTTCAAAGTTGCTCGAACTTCCTCCTTGGGCTCAGTGAAATGACTTGCCTCAATTGTCTTCCCCAGAAGCAAATCCACTGATTAAACAATACCTACAAGGGGTGTTGGAAAGACAAAAGAGGCAAGTTTGGTTCTGAATTTCAGAAATGTGTAGATAAACACAAAGCACGGTTATTTTGCAGCAAAGTACCCAATTTTCAAAAAAAAAAAAAAAGAAGAAGTGGGGGAATGTGCCAGGAGAAACAGTTGAATTCATCTGGTCTCTGGTCCAAGGCAATTTCTCTCACTCTATTTCTCACCATCTTGTGTAGAAATAAAGTACAAAAGACATAAACATCAGGAGTTGTTCTCAAACTTCTACAAGGCAATAAAACACTGTTTTTTTTTACTTGGAAAAAGAGCACATTCCACATCTTCTACAGTTTGATGCAAGTCTGAAGCTATAGTTGCAAGACATTCAAGGACAGAAATGTGAAGTTTTGTGGAATTGTGTGGTATTCGTCTAAAAATTCCAAAGGTTATCTTAAGTTGCAATATAACAAGGGGCTCCCCTTGGGAGGAGAGATCTTAAAGTGATGACAGTTAAATCATTTGGACCCAACTCATGGCCCCAACTCCTCTATACTCTTCACCCTTGAACCCTCATACCAATTTGCTGGCATATAAACAGGAAAAGACAGGCTGGGAACCGTTGGCTCCCGGGAGGCTCACCCAATACCTCTCACCTGGCTAAGAGCAGCATTGACTTTCCACATGATATGAACAGTTCAGGTGTTTTAAATCTATATGTGGAACAACTAAAAATATAATTTTCCTTTTTTCAGTGGTAAGATTTACATTTATTGTACATTAACTCCACATTTATAAAGTAATCATAATCTAGTCTTCAGTGTTTATGATAAGTAACATTACTTAGTGTTTCTCATCTGGTATTATCCAGTTAGACCTTGTGCCATGGAGTCAAACTGAGCAGGGTGAGAATCCCCATTCTGTAAGTTATTACACCAGTATCCTTCAGTTAATTGTGAATTTTTCAGAGCTTTATTTTTCCACTTCTGTAAATAAAAATAAGAGTGCCACCAACTTCAAAGGACTGAGGAAGATTTAAATAAGGCCATGTGTGTGAAAACACCAAGGGCAGAAAAATCACCCCTCAAAGGGTAGTTAAGGATAGCTAACAAGCTATGTTAAATTTTTGAGTTCTTTGTATGTCCTGGAGATCAATGCTCCATCTGAGGTGCAGGTGGCAAAGATTTTCTCCCGTTTTGTAGGCCCTCTCTTCATGTTCTTGATTGTTTCCTTGGCTGTGAAGAAGCTTTTTAGTTTGATCCCATTTATTGATTCTTGGTTTTATTTCTTGCACTTTAGGAAGAAGGAAATCAGTTTCTAGGCCAACGCAATGGAGATTTGGGCCTACTTTTTCTTCTAGTAGCCACAGGGGCGCTGGTCTAATGTGTAGGTCCTTGATCCACTTTGAGTTGAGTTTTGTGCAGAGTGAGAGATAGGGGTCTAATTTCATTTTATTACATAAGGGTCCAGTTTCCCCAGCACCATTTGTTGAAGAGGCTATTTTTTCTCCAATGTATGTTTATGGAGCCTTTTTCTAGTGTGAGATAACTGCATTTATGTGGATTTGTCTCGGTGTCTTCTATTCTATACCATTGGTCTTCATGTCTGCTTTAGTGGCAGTACCATGCTGTTTTTGGTACTATAGTTCTGTAGTATAATTTAATGTCTGATATTGTGATGCCTCCTGCTTCACTTTTCTCACTAAGGGTTGCTTTGGCTATTCTAGACCTCTTGTTTTTCCAAATGAATTTCATGACTGCTTTTTCTCTTTCTATGAAGAATGTAATTGGAATTTTATTGGGAATTGCATTAAATCTGTATAGCGCTTTTGGTACTATGGCTATTTTGACAATATTAATTCTGCCTATCCAAAAACATGGGATATCTTCCTATCTTCTAACATCTTCTTCAATTTCTTTCTGTAGTATTCTGAGGTTTTCAGTGTAGAGGTCTTTCACCTCTTTTGTTAGATTGATTCCCAAATGTTTTATTTTCTCGGAGGCCATTGTGAATGGGACAGTTTTTCTAATTTCTCTTTCAATTGATTCATCATGGATGTATAGGAATATGATTGATTCATGGGTGTTAATTTATATCCTGCTGCTTTGCTGAAAGCATCTATGAGTTCTAGAAGTTCTCTGGTGGCATATTTTGGGTCTTCTAACATATGTCATCAGCAAATAGGAATAGTTTGAATAAAGAGAGGATTCTAAAGCAAAAGCCCACCAGAGCATTGAGTTGGTGTGAGAGTGTGTTTTGCTGCTTGAGATGAACCTGGAGTGGCATTTGGGAGAAAATAAGAACAGGTTCTTGGATCCACCTGCTCCCTTGAGACCATTCAACTTGACATAATCCCAAGGACAGAGGTGGAGCCAGGATGCACAGATGCCAGGAATAGAGCAGGAGAGGAGCGATGAAAACAAGACTCTATGTTCAGCAAAGACCCCTTGTGCAGCTCCATGGAGAGAAGATGAGCAGGAGGGAGAGAGATGCAGATTGGAGACAGCTGCTCTCCAGGATGCTGTAGAAATGACTCAGTAGGGAGTCACGGGGCCTCTATGAGGGCCTTGAAGTGAAAATGGAAAATGAGAATGGTCTAAAAGTTGTGGTAGAGATAGACCGCAGGAAATCGTTCCTGTCTTTGGAGTTAGTTACTCCAGGGCTAAGGGCAAGGGTGTTATCTTAGCCTGCTTTATGTTGCTATAACAGAATATCACAGACTGGGTGATTTATAAAGAAAAGAAGTTCATTGGTTCATGAAACTGAAGGCTGGGAAGTCCAAGGTCATGGCCCTGACCCCTGCTCAGCATCTGGTGAGGGATTCTTGCTGCATCACAACACAGTGGAAGATGGAAGGACAAGAGAGAATGAGAGAAAGGAGGCGAAGGCACCTTTACAACAAGCCCACTTTCTCAATAGCTAATCCTCTCCCTCCATAACTAGCCCACTCTGCATGGCCATCCATTTGTGAGGGCTCTGCCCTCAAGACCGAATCACCTTCTGTTAGACCCGTCTCTCAACACTGTTGCATGGGGACGGAGCTTCCAGCGTATGCACTGTGGGGTCACATTCAAACCACAGCCGATACTGATGCTCTTGACAAGATGGGTCAGTGCTTGAAGCTGGTTTCTGGATGAGGTAATCTGTTTATATGGGACATTTTGGCTCTTGGTTTCTTTCTTTTATTTCACTTCAGTTCATTTATTCATTCATCAAAAAGCATTGCATGAGCATTTGCTGTGGGTCTAATAATACTATGCTAAGCTCTGGGATGCCAGAGGAATAAGAACTGGCCTTCTACCCTCGAGTGGGTGGGGAGAAGGTGACAAATTAACAGACAGTTACAATGTAAGGTGAGTGGTGTGAAGATTGAAGTCCACCAAGGACGCCCAGGAGGCACAGAGGAGGGGCACCTAACCAGACTGGGGCTGGGGTTAGAGATATGAGGTAATGTCTCAGCTGAATTGAGTCATGAAGGATGAGCAGGGTGAGCCAGGCAAGAGTAGGCAGAAGGACACTTCATGTAGAGGGAGCAGCAGGTTCAAAGGCCCAGAGGCAAGCGATTGAATGGCATAAATTTGAGTCCTGCCAAGTTCTTAAGTATGACTAGAATGTAGAATACAAGAAAAGGAGGTGGCATGGAAGGATGTTAGAAGGATACACAGGGGGACACAAATAGCACTATTCTAAGGGTGTTTTAAAGTCGAAAGAGTTATGATGGGATTTAAGATTTATAAATATAACTTTAGCAGAGTGTGGGGTCTAAACTGGAGTACAGGCACTTTGGTGGCAAGGAGCCACAGGGCCCATTGTCTTAATGTTGAGGATTTGGACTTGAATGGCTTATAAGAATGAAATGACATAAACATTCAAGTGATACAAAAAAATAAAAAAAGGTGGCAGCAACTGAACTGGTAACTGATTGGATGGATGGTGATTTGGGAGGATGAATGAACAAAGAGAAGGCAGTATCAAGAATTTCTCGCTTGGGTAAAGTGACATAGATGAAGCAATGTTTTGTGATACTTTTGCTAGTAGGGGGAGGAATAAGGGGGTGAGCTTTGGTTGTGTGGAACTTGAGCTGCTTGGTAGTCGTCCAGTAGAGTTGGTCAAGAGGCAATCACAAATGCTTGCCTGGAGGTCAAGAGGCAGAGCAGGAGGTGTAGACGTTAGAGGTGCCACCACAAAGGTGGTACCAGAAACTCAGGGTGTAGGAGAAGAGTTTGCCCACAAGTCTACAGAGGGGAAGAGAAGATGGTAAGGGATGAGCTCCTGGGAAAGACCAGCTCTCCAAAGGATAGCAGAGAGAGGGGAGAGAAGAATAGAAGATACTAGAAAGCAGCAACAAAAGAAGTAGGAGACCAAGGAGGAGCGGAACCATGGTTTACAAGGAAGGCCAGAGATTTCAGAAGCTAGAGCAGGCAACAGTATGGAAAGCAGCAGAAAGTCAAAAGATGATGTTGCATTGGATTTGTTAAAGAGTTGTTGTGGGGGCTTTGGTAGGAACATCTCAATAGGTTTGTGGAGGAGAGAGGCCAGATGGGAGTAAGTGGAGGAGTGACCGAGAGGTAAGGAAGTGGAGACATCTTTTGGAAGATGTCTCTGAGGGGAGAAACTAGGGGTGCATGTGTGGTAGGTAGGGATGATTATTTTTGAGATGGGAGTGATTTGAGCAAATTCGGAAAAATCAGGTAGATGCAGGAGACGTTGGAGATACGTGACAAATAGAGGGGAGGAAGCAGATAGGTCCAGAGCTCAGGAGGTGAGCTACCTCCTAGACCAGTGGTTCACAAATCTGGATGCCCATTAGACTCACCTGGAGAGCTGTAAGCAGATGCCTGGACCTTGTCCCCAGAGATTTTGATTTAAGCAGAATGTAGCAGAGTCCAGGCATCACTTTTTATTTATGTTTTCAAATCTCTATTTACATTTTCAGATCTTCTAATGATTCTAATGTGTAGTCAGGGTTTAAGAACTACTGTATTAAATTTTGACAATTATCCATTGAATGCTTTCAAAACACTTTTTATGAATTTTCTTAACTTTCTTTTGCAACAATGAATGTTTCATTACCTGCAGAAGACATTTTGAATAAATATGTTACGCCTGCTCTCAAGTGGCATACAACCTCGTAGGAGAAACAGTAACAATCTGTCATACAGGTCTCTTATCTAAAGTGCTTGGGACCAGAAGTGTTTCAGGTTTCATTCCTCCCTCCCTCCCTCCCTCCCTTCCTCCCTCCCTTCCTTCCTTCCTTCCTTCCTTCCTTCCTTCCTTCCTTCCTCCCTCCCTCCCTCCCTCCCTCCCTCCCTCCCTTCCTTCCTCCCTCCCTCCCTCCTTTCCTCCCTCCCTCCCTTCCTTCCTTCCTTCCTTCCTTCCTTCCTCCCTCCCTCCCTCCCTCCCTCCCTTCCTTCCTTCCTCCCTCCCTCCCTCCCTTCCTTCCTCCCTCCCTCCCTCCTTTCCTCCCTCCCTCCCTTCCTTCCTTCCTTCCTTCCTTCCTTCCTTCCTTCCTTTCTTCCTCCCTCCCTCCCTCCTTTCCTCCCTCCCTCCCTCCCTTCCTTCCTTCCTTCCTTCCTTCCTTCCTCCCTCCCTCCTTTCCTCCCTCCCTCCCTCCCTCCCTCCCTTCCTTCCTTCCTTCCTTCCTTCCTCCCTCCCTCCCTCCTTTCCTCCCTCCCTCCCTTCCTCCCTCCCTCCCTTCCTCCCTCCCTTCCTTCCTTCCTTCCTTCCTTTCTTCCTCCCTCCCTCCCTCCCTCCCTCCCTTCCTCCCTCCCTCCCTCCCTCCCTCCTTTCCTCCCTCCCTCCCTTCCTTCCTTCCTTCCTCCCTCCCTCCCTCCCTCCCTCCCTTCCTTCCTACCTTCCTTCCTCCCTCCCTCCCTCCCTCCCTTCCTCCCTTCCTTCCTTCCTCCCTCCCTCCCTCCCTCCCTCCCTCCTTTCCTCCCTCCCTCCCTTCCTTCCTTCCTTCCTTTCTTCCTTCCTTCTTTTTTCTTTCTTTTCTTTTGTAATGTTTGCATATACGTAGTGAAATATCTTGGGAATGGGACCCAAGTCTAAACATGAAATTTACTTATGTTCATATGTACTTTCTGATCATAGCCTGAAGGTAATTGTATGCAAATTTTAGTGCACATGTGTTTTGACTGTGACCTGTCATCTAAAGTTTGATACCATGAGAAAAATTCTAAAGTAGAATTTTTCTCATGGTATCAAAACAGTGCTCAAAAAGTCTTGGATTTTGGAATTGGTAGTTAGGAATACTCTCTCTCCTCTCTCTCTCTCTCTCTCTCTCTCTCTATATATATATATATATATATATATATATATATATATATATATACATACACACACACACACACACACGCACACACACACATATATATGTATGTATATATGTGTGTATATATATAAATTAGTGGCAGAGCATTTAATATGGTGGGATCTCCAGGCCTGGATGGTCAGGGAAGATATCAAGGGGAGGGCTTGAGTCTCAGAGTAGATGAGCCACCCAGGTGAACAGAGAGGAGCCTGGTCCCCACACACCTAAGACAATAGTCATTGTTAGCTGTTTCTTGAGTCCATTCTCCTTACCAGCTCCTGGACATACATTGTTTCATGATGACCATGTAAGATAGTTGGTTGTATGTCATATCTGTTTTACTGAGGAAGAAGATGATGCTCATGGGATTTGATTTCAAGGCCACAGCTAGTAATAAGTGGGTGAATCAGGGTTCAAGGGCAGGTTGGTTGACTCCAGGCTGGCTCTTTTTCTACTATAGTGTGCTGTTACTTCTCACTGAGGAGGCCCAGGCTCCCACCTACTCTTTAGCACTATAGGCTTGGGGACACAGGATAAGTTCACACATCCATCCATCCTTAACACTAATGTTTCTCAATGGAGGGTCCCTGGACACACAGCAGCAGCATCACCTGCTATGAGACTGAACCCTAAGCATCTGCAATCTGAAAATGAAAAGAAAGAACTGGGGGAATCCAACTCTGGGAAAGATCATTCCAGCAGCCTCTAGTCTGATCAAAGAGTTCGAATATTGACAGCAACATTTGATGATGTCAGTGAGCCCTGGTATTAGTACAGTGTATAGATTCCATAAAGGTGACCCTTCAGTCTTGGGAATGTTATGGTGTTTTCCTTTTAGCAAATTCTAAAACTAGGCCAATTCTAGACAAAGCAAAGTTCTAAGCATTTTCACAGGAACCTCAAGATGTAACCCTTATGGAAACTATAGGGTTTGCCCAAAAGGAATTCTAACCTTTGGCACCTTTCTCGTTTGATTATTGACAGGAAGAAGTGATTGGAGATTTGAAACCAGGAACCGAATATCGAGTGAGCGTAGCAGCTTACAGCCAGACTGGCAAAGGGCGGCTCAGCCCCCCTCAGCACGTTACCACGTTGTCCCAAGGTAAAGCAGGTTCAAATTCATTCATAACAGGAAAGTGGTGGGCTGCTAGTCATTCGTGCCTTCATTCAGCAAATCCAGTAGGGACCCTCTGTGTGCCAGGCACTCTGATGGGCTCTGGGAATTCAGCAGTGCCCCCAACACCAGCACAGACCTCTTAGAACTCAGTGGGGTGAGTCAAGATGCTATCTAATGAGTGTGTCCTCCCTGGCTGTGAGAAAAACACAGGGATGAGGGGAGGGATCCCTGAAAAGACGATGGCTAAATGGAGAACTGATGGGCTGATAGGAAATAAGGAGGAGAGGAAGGGGAGTGAGAGAGATTTATGTATAGGCAAAGAGAATCCAAACAATGGTCACTAAGGTGGCACTAAGGTGGATGCTGGGGTACAAAAGCAGGTTGATGGCAGTCACTGCTCATAAGGTGCTCTTGGTAGAGAGAAGAAAATGGTAAGCAGGTGGCACCCATGCTTCCCCAGCCAGAGTTACAGAAGTGCTTACGTAGGAAGGTGGGAAAACTCTTCTGGACCCAGGCAATACATGAGAGGTATGAAAAGCTGGAACCCACCATGACCTGGATGGGAGGATCACCTTTACACAAGAGGAAGGCATTTCCCAAATGCCCTTCCATTGCTTTGTATCTTCTTATCAGCAGAGGAAACACACACACACACACACCACACATGAATTGGAAAGTAATTTGCAGTAATGGTAAGCAGCATTGAGTTTTCCTGAAGATAAATATCAACTCCAACATGCAAACAGAGACAAAAGGCCACCAGGAGGTGGAAGTACATACCACACATGTCCTAGGGTCAGCAGAACCTAATATGGTCAGCTTTCTATCCAGATGTGCTGGGAAGAGAAAGGAAGACCAGCTCTCATGACTCAGACCTTATGGCTGAGCGCAGTTGTGATTTGTCAGTGTGTGTTTGTTTTGGATTTTGAGGTTGTTGTGACCAGAGGTGTTTTGGTCCTGGGAAGCACATTTTTTTTTAATGTATCCAACCTCTCTAGAGCTGATACAATCAGCCACGTGTTTGTTGTCCTGCCTAGATTCCTGCCGGCCTCCAGCGGCACCCCAGCAGCCACGTGCCCTTGTGGTTTCTGATTCGGAGGTGGCCCTATCTTGGAAACCTGGACAGAGTGAAGGACGCTCCCCTATTCAGTACTATTCCGTGGAATTCATCAGGTAAGTTTGTGTGGTATTTCTAGACCTCAGCTGTTCTGAGAGTGATGTAAGGGTACCAGGCAGGGTGGTCATCTGTAAGTCTTCACTACATGGACATTGTGAGAGCACACAGGCTTGGAAGGCCATACTTACATTCTGACTGGTGCCTATGTCCACACCGCTCTGGTGGTGGGTCATCTGGTAAACCTGTCCCCACTCACCCATCTCTTCTCTATTTCCCTCCCTCAGAGATCAGACACGGTTCTGAGCTCTGAAAACTCTCGGGGCACCATTACCAACTAGCCTGCCTGCATTTCAAGCTTGAAACTTGCCCTTCTGGTTTTGAAACATATATTTGAAGTAAATATTTGATGATGACTTTTCTCGGGGGAGGGGGAAAGCTCTTCAGAAACAAATACAATGCATGGTTTCCTCTGCACCCATATTGCCGTGGGGCAAGTTTCTTGGTTTGATTTCAGCTTTTTTTTTTCCCTATAGTCTACTTCTGCAGTGATTTTTATTCAGCTTGTTAGAGGGAAGATGAGTGATTAAAAGTTAGAATTAAAAGTTCTTTAGGTGTAAAAACATTCTCAGTGCAGCTATGTAATTGTGTGGAAGGAAGAGAGAAAGGGAGAAAGGAAGGAAGAATTAACAGTCTAGGGTCTTTCCTCTGAACTCTGGTTGCAGTTTGATTTTGAATTGAAGCAGTGGCTGATCAATGGGTCTGAAAACAACGTGTGTGGAGTTTGCATTCTTTGCATTAAAGATGATGGAGCTCACAGGAGGCCTGCTACTTTATGGATTCATAAAGAGACTGGTGCAGCAACTCATTCCTAAGGCTCTCTGAAGCTGGGAGGAAGGATCCTGCCATGATCTGATTAGCTATGCTTCCTTTTCTTGACCTCCTAGCCCATTTCTTGGTAGTGGAAAACAGACATTGTGTTTTCTTTTTTTCAGAGAAGTGCTATACCAAGTCTCTTGAATGCTTGAATATGGAGCTTGTTTCAGACAGGACTTGATGAATTTTAAGTGGCAGAAACTTGAAAGGAGAAGATGGAACAGTAATGTACTGTCTCCTCCTGACTATAAAGTCCAGTGGCAGATATAAAATCAGGGGACTCTAGAGTTGGGTCACCTCACCAGCCTGTGTCCATCTCTCTGCTTTATTGATTTGTTTTCAGGCAGGCTTTTCCAATAGGTGGCAAGAAAGCCGTCAGACACACAAAACTAGTTTAGTTCACTACTGAAAAGAAAGTGGCTATTTATCCATGCACCAGCAAAATCCTGACATTCATTCTAATCGGTCAGCCTTAGGTCCCATTCCATTCACTGTGGTCAGGATGGGAAGAATCCACAGATTGACCAAACGCTGTTTTTACTGTAAATATGGCATAAACCTAAAGTTTATTGATTGAGTATTCAAGAGGGTTGAATCCTCAAAGGAAATTGTGGTGCAGTTTCTGGAATTGGGGCAAATAACACTAGGAATTAGTAAAAGAAAGAAAGTCAGGAAGGAAGGAAAGAAAGAAAGATGCCCATTGCAAAGCCCAAACCAGGACTGTTCTTTGAGGACAATCCACAATTCTGCTTTTGATCTAATTTGGCAAGCAAAGCCAAGAATATGCCTAGAACAGGGAAGATTCTAATCTGGTTTCCAATACTAGTTAAATATGCAACATTGAAAGTTTTTCATCTATAAAACTTGGAGCAAAACCTAACATTTATAATTTAGTTACACAAGTAAATTAGACAACACCAACAGAACAAATTGTAATCCATTAAAATTTAGAAAAATGCTAAGTGTTTTAATCATAGCCTGGCAGTTCATCTGAGTAACCCCAATAAAGATGATAATTATCACTTAGTATTAATTTTGCACTCAAACATCTGTTTTAAAACTTGCTCTATGTCTGGTATATTGATACAAGGTAGAAATGGCAGTTACCTAACCTTGCTTGTACACCTGGAGAGTAGATCAAGGAGTCTTTGGCTTCAAAAACAGAAGAACTGGGAGAGAGTGTTATGATCCTCCACTCTCCAGATACATGGCCCTGGGGAAGTCACTTTCCCTCCTGAACCTCAAAGCCTCTTGGTTTGTGGTGCCCTCAGAAGAAAGGGTGAGGCAAGAATGTAGTTGCAAATAGTTAATTTGGAATCAAAAATGATAGAATGGGGAGAAAGAGACAGCAAAAGACGACAGATAAGGGCTTGTTACTAAAGTCATTGTTCCAGGTCGTGAGGCCTTCAATGGGTCTTCATTGCACTGCCGTCTCTCTGGAGAATTCCTCTCAGATTTGCCATAAAAAGACAAGCAACATTTGCCCACTGGCTTCTGTTGTTTGAGGGTTACACCAGGAGGTACAGCCTTTCCATACTTGTAGGCCATGTTGGGATGTGAATCACCGAACAGGATCCTGGGGTACAAGGAGGCGTGACATAGGCCAGCAGGTGCTTGAGGGTGGACAAGGGCTGTTGGAGGTGAGTCTGAGATCTCACAAAACTGTTCACATCCCAACTGCTGCTGAAATCAGAAATGGGGTGTGGGGAGTGATAAGGGACCCACGGGCATCAACTACGAACTCCTCTCTGCAAAACATGGGCAATAACTTCTTCCTGTCTATAGCGTGTAACGATTAGGAGGATCAAGTGAAGTCACATATGAGAAAGAGATTGGAGGCATTACAAACCTGCAAGAGTGTAAGGCGTGTGGGAGTGTTATGCATCTGTACTTAATAATTACAATTCCCTCCAACAAAAATACATTTGAACATTCAGAACTATTCCTAGCATCTGAGGGGCTCAAGGCTCAAACTCTTGTCCATATCTTTAGGTCATTCTTACAAACTGTTAATTCTTTGACATCTGTTTGCCTTAACAAAATACCTTCACAGTGTTCTGGAAGCTAACTCCAAATTTGGAATTCTTGGATTCTTCAGTGTTCCAGATGGAGAGAGCCTGGTCCTGTTTATAGCTCCTGTACTAGGAATTCTGTTTCTATTTTTTTTTTCCAGTACACATCGATTCAGTCAAGTTATTGTATCTAAGGACCTCCATTTTCTCATCTGCAATATCAGGCAAATTCAACTCTTTTGTAGTTATTACTCATAGTCTTTGTAAAGTTTTTATACTGTAGACACTCTATACCTGTTTCCTTCCTACCAAACCCTCATTTCCCTTTTACAAAAGAGAAAACTAAGACTCAATTGCTTAACTTTCTTTGCTATAGTGCAATAGCTGGTAGGGGACAGAATTAAAAGTAGAACTGAATTTTCCCGATCTCAGCCCAGTGTTCTATTTAATGAAGCCCCTGGGTGTCTTGGTGTCTGTGACCCTCCTTCAGAGACCAAAGCAGGGACTCAGCCTGCTCAGAGCCTGGCTGGAGGAGGGAGCAGGAAGCCCCTTCAATCTCTGTCTGCTGTTGTTTCTGAAAGAAGCCTTCACAGCTTGTTGCAGCATTTAATGTTGGGCTGCAAAATAAATCCATTTGTAAACATCTCAGGTATTATCCCATACAGGTAAGCGCCTGAGGATATGTGTTTGGAGAGAGCTTTCCTAGGCTCTCAATCAGAAACTGCTGTTGGTATGCGCCATGGTCTGAATGCTTGCGCTTTCAGAAGCAGGGCCTTTGTGGGTGATTAGATCACAAGGGCAGAGCCCTGAGGAATGGGATTAGTGCACTCATCCAGAGGCCTGAGAGAGCTCCCTACTATTTCCACCATGTGAGACACGGAAAAATTGCCAGCTATGATCCAGAATGCTTAGTAAACAGCTGTTGTACTACATTGTTTAGGGACTGGTGACATGGAAAAATTCCATACATGTTCAGGATAAATATTTTTTCCCAAATATTATAAATCCTCATTAGTTGAATTCATTGACTTGGAATCAACTGATATACAAGACTGACTACTATATTTTTATTTTCTTTCCTTCTTTCTTTTTTAATCAGGCTGAGGATAAAACCCAGGTCCTCATATATGCTAGACAAGTGCTCTACCACCGAGATATGCCACCACCTCTGATTGTATTTTTTTTAATACCAGTTCAAATGGACTACAAAAGCATAGAAGTCTTTTGGGAGGTCTTCAGTTATTCGTTTTTCCTGAGAAAAGTACATGTCATGTTTCATGATGAATTCCTTTGCCTGTATATCTCCTGTGTACAGAAGCACATGTAACAGATCTCTGTGTGAGTCAAAAATTCCTTGTTGCACTTAAGATGCGGGCCTTTTGCAAACCAAGTCTAGGAAATTGTAGAAACTGGTTTATCCTCAGAGGTTATCCTCTGATTTCAACATCCTAATGGGAAGTTCTACCTAAGTTTAGTCACTGGAAAATCAGGCATCAGTCTTCTCTCTGGCTTGGTGGCACTTATACATCAGTTTGCTCTTCTTACTTGCCATTCAATGGGGATAAGCAATATTAAAGGTATTGCTACAGGATATTCTAACAAAAGTTTTAAAAATACTTAACTGACTAATAAAAGATGAACCTGAGAAATAACACTAGATCGTAAGCTGGGGGTTCAGCTCTTTATGAGCTAGTTATTATGACGTTTCAGATAGACTTTATTTATGATGATCACTTGAATCATGGCCCTAGGACTAAGCAAGTTTTTGCTCCTCACCCAGCTTCTACCTCCCCCAAGACAGGACACCTCTGGTGTGAACACCCAGGAGTTATGTTCTCAGCAACTGCATCAGAGAGTATCATAGTCTCTGGCTCAGGCAGAATGAACACTTTTAAATGGCACAATCTTCACAGTCTCCCTCA